TGTGGGAAGGAGATGAGATACAGGCCCCTCCATCCTTCATAGAAGCATCATGAACCGCATATCACCATCACCAAACCCACAGCACCGACAGCAACCGCACAGCACCTTTTCAAACCGCACAGCACCATCACCAACTCCATAGCACCATGACCAACCGCACAGCAACGGCCACCAACCGCAGAGCAGCACTCACGTGAGCTGGTCGACCCACACGATGGGTCACAGGGCTCTGAGAGCAGCAGCCAGCGCACCGCAATGGAGTACAGATCCCTCCACCCGCCCACACCCCCCTTCCTCCCCATCCGTCACAGCACCATCACCAACCGCACCGCACCTTAACCAACCGCACAGCACCTTAACCCAACCACACAGCACCGCACAGCAGCACTCACGTGAGCTGGTCGACCCACACGATGGGGTCACAGGGCTCTGACAGCAGCCGCCAGCGCACCGCAATGGAGTACAGATCCCTCCACCCCCCCACCGTCGCTCCCGCGTCCTCCTATCCTTCATAGCACCACCACCGAACAGCACCTTCACCAACCGCACAGCACCTTCACCAACCGCACAGGACCACTCACGTGAGCTGGTCGACCCACACGATGGGGTCACAGGACTCCGACAGCAGGCGCCAGCGCACAGCAATGGAGTACAGGTCCCTCCACCCTCCCACCGTCACCCCCCCGCTTCATCCTCGTCCTCATCCTCATCCTCCTCCTCATCGTCGTCATAATCTTCATGGTCGCTCCGCCTGCTGCTACTGGCGCGCCCCTTGCTGCTGCTGCCGCCCTTGCCCTGCTGCTTGCTCGCTGCTGCTGCCTGCTCTCGCCACGTGGCGCGTGCTGCCTGCATCATCTCCAGTGCTGCCATGCCTGCTGCGCGGTGCTGGGGTGGATGGAACGGTGCAGAAGGGTGAGAAAGATGGAAGAAAAGAGCAGGAGAGACAGGGGACAGGGGGGGGGGGGGGGGGGGCTCTAGCGTGGCCTGTGCTGCCTGCATCATCTCCAGCGCAGCCATGCCCTGCGTGGTGCTGTTAATTGGGGAGGAGGGTGGTGGGGAAGGAGCACGAGAGTAGGGGAGCAACCGTCAGGCACTACATGACCCAAGGCTCTCGCCACGAGGTGCGTGCTGCCTGCATCACCTCCAACGCAGCCATGCCTGCTGCGCAGTGCGGTTTGTTTAGGACAGGAACAAGGGTGAGGAAGGAGATATGGAAAGAAGCAGAACGTTTTTTGTGCCACTACTGCCATGCTGCTATGCCGCTTCGCCGAGACGACACATCTTTGGTTGAGAAATAGCCGAGCCTAATTGGTGCTGAGTGAGCAGATCCCGAGCTTACCTGTCCCTGGTTGGGCAGAAGCCGAGCCTACCTGTCTCTGGTTGGCAGGAAGCCGAGCCTACCTGCCTCTGGTTGGGCAGAAGCCGAGCCTACCTGCCTCTGGTTGGGCAGAAGCCGAGCCTACCTGCCTCTGGTTGGGCAGGAAGCCGGGGGAAGTGTACTGCGTGCGACCACCAACGGTGTCTGCAGCCTTGACGAGCTCCTTCCTTCCCCGCTTCACCTGCTCGCTCACATGCCTGATGTGGCATGATGTGATGCATGGTGCACGCACATGAGGTTTGTTATTGCATGTGTGTGTGCACGATGCATGGTGTGTGCATGTGAGGTATTATGCATGATGTTTGGCACGTGCATGATGTATGGACGTGCATGATGTATGGCACGTGCATGATGTATGGCACGTGCCTGATGTATGGCACGTGCATGATGCATGGCACATGCATGATGCATGGCACATGCATGATGTATGGCACGTGCATGATGTATGGCACATGCATGATGCATGGCATGCATGATGCATGATGGCACATGCATGATGTATGCACGTGCATGATGTATGGCACATGCATGATGTTTGGCATGTGCGTGATGTTTGGCACGTGATATGATACCATGCATATCATATGTGTGTGTAGACGTGCAATGCGAGCACGCATGCGAACACACACACACATACATAGACACACACAGACACACGCACACACTCACAGCAAGAGCAGCAGAATCTGGATCTTCATTCGGTTGTCAATACCCTTTGGTACAGTTGCAGGGGAAAGGCCAGGAAGAGGCACCTTGCTGGGCATACTTCTCATATCCAACTCTCACATATACCCCTTTCACTCAACCCCCTCATATCACCATCTCTTATCCCTCTCGCACCCACCTCTCTGGTTTCAACTGGTTGTCAAATGCCGCCCGGTATGGTTGCGGGCGGTAGGCTGGGAAGAGGTGCCTTGCTGTGCGTACCTCTCACAACCCACTCTTTCAATCCTAGTCTCTCTCGTCCCCTCTCGCACCCACCTCTCTGGTTTCAACTGGTTGTCAAATGCCGCCCGTATGGCTGCGGGCGGTAGGCAGGGAAGAGGTGCCTTGCTGTGCGTACCTCTCACAACCCACTCTTTCAATCCTAGTCTCTCTCGTCCCCTCTCGCACCCACCTCTCTGGTTTCACTGGTTGTCAAATGCCGCCCGGTATGGCTGCGGGCGGTAGGCAGGGAAGAGGTCGGTGGGCACGGATCGACGCGCCCATGCTTGCTGTGAGGGGCAGTAGTGGAGGCGGTGAACGGGAGGAGGAGAAGGGGAAAGTAGTGTAAGAACAAGGAAGAGAACAGTTGGTGTGGGCTCCCCCTGGTCATTGCAAGCCTCTCCTCTGGGAAAATCACTTTTTTTTTTTTTTTTTTAGAAACGAAGTTGAGCAATGATATCGCTTCCTACAAAACCTATTTTCTTGCATGAACTCTTTGCCTCGCCTTGTGCTCCAAACCCCAGTGCAGCTTTTGGAAAGCTGAGAGGTCAAGTCCTACCTTGAACTCGGGCCCAAAATTGTCTTCAAAGTCAAAAACATTTGAATTGACTCGAAAACTCAGCTTCTGTCGAGCTGAGACGTCAAGTTCTACCTTGAATTCGGGTCCGAAGTTGTCTTCAAAGTCAAAGTCACGGAGAGGCTTATTGAGGCGAGACGCTGTGAACTGCGCCACCTCCCTCTGTGCATGAGAGAGAGGGTGGGAGGGAGAGGGTGGGAGGGAGAGGGTGGGGGGAGAGGGGTGGGAGGGAGAGGGTGGGAGGGAGAGGGTGGGAGGGAGAGGGTGGGGGGGAGGAGGTGTGGAGAGAGTGACAGAAGCATGGAGTGGAGAGGATGAGGGAGACGAGAGGCTTATTGAGGCGAGAAGCTGTAAGCAGTGCCACGTCCCTCTGTGCATGCGAGTGAGTGGTGCATGGGGAGTGGTGGGTTAGAGAGATGGAGTGAGCGGGTGGGAGAGAGTGAACCAGTGAGAGAGTAAGATCGAGTGAGTGAGGGTTGGTGAGGGTGAGTGAATGCATGCAAGTGAGTGGGTGGCCTGAGTGAGGAACCAAGAGAGAGCACGAGGGCAGCAAACGAAAAAATGCAAAGAAAAAGGAGAAGGAAGGTGCGAGAAGCATGAACTCTTGCAGGAGATGCTTAATGCAGTGCGGGACAATGAGATGGAATAGCCAAACCAGCAACCTCCCTGTGGGAACCGAAAATGGGGGGTTTAGGCTTCCGGATTCTGGGTGTAACTCTGCTGAGATGAGCCCACCTGGTAGCACAAGTTTAGGGAGTGTAAGACTGCTGAGGGGAGCCCACCTGGTAGCACAAATTTTAGGGGGTGTAAGGCTGCTGGGAGGGGCTCACCTGATAGAATGCCATGAAGAGCAAGGGCTGCTCCACCTGGCGCGTGGGCTTGGTTGGCCATTTTTTAGTCTAAACCATAGTCACCTGGGTGTAAAGCTGCTGAGAGGAGCTCACAGGGTAGGAGAAGATTAGGGCGTAAGGCTGCTGAGAAGGCTCACCTGGTAGAATGCCATGAAGAGTAAGGGCTGCTCCTCCTGCCGTGTAGGCTTGGACAAGAGAGCATCGTATGTCGTCACCTGGTGGTGTGAGAGGCGGGAAAGAGTGCGGGAGGGCGCTTCATTTGGGTGGTAACCAGCTTGCAGTGTGGGCTTGGACAAGAGAGCATCGTATGTCGTCACCTGGTGGTGCGAGGGCGGGGGAAAAGTGAGTTAGGGGCGCTTTGGTCATTTGGGTAGTTCCATCCTAGTGTGGGCTTGGCCAACAAAGCATCGTATGTCACCACCTGGTGGTGTGAGAGGAAGGAGTGGGGGGGGGGGCGAGGAGGAGGGAAGGCGAGACACTGGTGCGGAGCCGGAGTGTAATTCCTATCCACCGATGAGAGCATGAGCATCACATGCACCTCCCCACGTCACTCACGGCGTCCTGCAGCTGCCCCAGCGCGTGTGGCACGACCCCTTGATGTAATGCCCCTCCACATTCAAGGGCTTAAGGTTTAACGTGTGGGTCTAGGGTGAGAGAGCATCACAAGCAGCATGCGTCCACTCACGGCGTCCTGCAGCTGCCCCAGGGCGTGGTGGCACGACCCCTTGATGTAATGCCCCTCCACGTTCTCCGGCTCGAGCTGCATTGCCACACGCACCAGCTCTAGTGCGTGCCTGTGTGAGGAGTGATGGGGAGGGGGAAGGAAGGGGTGGGGAAGGATGGGGAGGGGGAAAGGAAGGGGCGGGGAAGGATGGGGAGGGGGGGAAGGGGGCGGGGAAGGATGGGGAGGGGGAAAGGAGGGGCGGGGAAGGATGGGGAGGGGGAAAGGAAGGGGCGGGGAAGGATGGGGAGGGGAAAGGAAGGGGCGGGGAAGGATGGGGAGGGGGAAAGGAAGGGGCGGGGAAGGATGGGGAGGGGGAAAGGAAGGGGCGGGGAAGGATGGGGAGGGGGAAGGTGTTGGAGAAGTCTCCATTCAGTTTGCCCTCCGGCTCGAGCTGCATTGCCACCTGCACCAGCTCCAGTGCATGCCTGTGTGAGGAGTGACGAGGGAGAAAAAAAGGGAGGAAGAGGAGAGGAGGGGAAAGGATCTAAGAAGGGGGGGCAGGAGTGGGCAGCTGCAGGGGGAACAGTGGGCGGCTGCAGCCTGAAAGTGCTGCAGTTTTTTCGTTGATTTGGTGTTACTTTAGAGAATTCTCAAAAGTAACACCAATACAGCTGCAGCTTGAGAGTGTTGCAGTTTCCCATTGATTTGGCTTACTCGAGACTGGCTATGGCGATATGATCATGAATTGGGGCCGTGAGCCCAAGGTGGCTGTGAGCTGATGTGCACATTCAGGGTATGGTTGGGATGACAGGGAAGGGCGCACACTTGTGGTCACCCATGGCATGCTTGAGCAGTGCCCAAGGAGAAGCATGGGCGCAGTTGGGAAGGCATGGCATGGACATACACTGCGTGTGCAGGCCACATCCACCCACACACTCACTTGTGGTCGCCCATGGCGTGCTTGAGCAGCGCCCCCACGCGGTACGCCTGGGCGAACCTGGGAGGAGAGGGAGGGGCATGGGGGCATGGATCGAGGCATGAGGTATGGAGGCATGCAAGTATGGAGGGATGGGAGTATGGAGGGATGGGAGTGGGTTTGGAGCAAGAGACTACAGCTGACGAGATTCCTTGTTAGCCTGGGCTCCAGCTGGGTAGTCTTTTGGTATACCTGCTCCGCCATATCAGGCATGGCCAGCTACTTAGCTGCCTGCCCCGTGTACAGCCATGCCATCCATGCCATTGCTGCACCCATGTCATTTAAAGACCCCTCTAAACCGACTCAACCCCATTTCACCACACTCACTTGGGCTCCAATTGTGTCTCCTTCCTGTAGGTCTGCTCCGGCCTGTCAGGCATGGCGAGCTCCTTAACGGCCTGCCCCATGTACAGCCACGCCATCCATGCCATTCAACGACCCCTCTAAACCGTCTCCAACCCCACATGCATGCCTCAATGCTCACCTGGGTTCCAGCTGCGTGGCCTTCCTGTAGGCCTGCTCAGCCCTCTCAGGCATGGCGAGCTCCTTGGCCGCCTGCCCCATGTACACTGTACAGCCATGCCATCCTGTTGCCCGGTTTTGCTGCCTCGACCCTCAAGGCCTCTGGCCTGCGCATGACTTACCACATTGGCTGACTAAGGCCTCAACGCTCACCTGGGTTCCAGCTGCGTGGCCTTCCTGTAAGCCTGCTCGGCCCTGTCAGGCATGGCGAGCTCCTTGGCGGCCTGCCCCATGTACAGCCACGCCATCCTGTTGCCCGGGTTTGCATCCACCACCTTCTCATAAATCTCCATCGCCTCCTCTGTTTCGCCCAACCCCACCAGAGACTCAGCCTGCACGACATGGGTGGCAGGCAGGAAGGGTGAGGCGGAGGGAGAGAGGGGGAGGGGGGGGGTGAAGGGGGCAGGCGGGGGCAGCAAAGTGCATGTCAAATTTCCCTCCATCCACCACCTTCTCATAAATCTCCATCGCCTCCTCTGTCTCGCCCAACCCCACCAGAGACTCAGCCTGCAGCATGGGTGCAAAGCAGGAATGGAGGGAGGGAAGTGAGGGCGGAGCAAAGAGAGCACATGTGGATTCCGCCTGCAATCGGTGCAAAGAGGGCGGAGGCCGGAGGTGGACGCATCTCCCTGTGTTGCCCGGGCTGCCTGCCACAATCCTCTGGAGTATCTCCATGAGCCCCACCACAACACATATGATCACATATGCGCCCACTCACCAGCGCAACATGTGTGAGCTCCTCCTTAAGCATCACCGCTACACTGCCCCTAGGTCACCCCCCCATGCGTTGAGCAGCACTCAGCAATGCAGCGGGCGCCGTTCGAGAGAGTATTCTACTTCAATCCAACACTAATGTTGTGTTCCCACTCACCAAGGCAACGTGCGCCAGCTCCTCCTTGGGCATGACGGCAACCACCGCCCTCAGGTCCTTGGCTGCCTCGTAGAAACGCCGTGCCCTGGCGTACACCATGCCTGGTGGGTGGTGGACAGAGGTGGAAATGGTGAGGGATGATGGTTCACAGTTTGAGTAGATCGACAAAGCAACATACATGGAAACAGCAGATTGTTGAAAATGACTATCAGTCATGCTGATTGCATCAGTACTAGATAACAGATGCGTGGCAAGGACAAAATTCTGTCCTCATTGCTGCAGACTCAAACAGAGTGATGATGCCCCTCTCTCCACTCTTCACCCTCCTCTTTCATCCAGTAAATCAATTGCCCAACGCCCCACCTCTTTCCCCACGTCCCTCCCCTGTCATCACACACACCCCTTGTTTCCCCCTCTTTCAGGTCACCTCACTCCATAAGCAGGTCAATCTGCCCCTTCCATGCCCTCCCATCCCACCCCTCCCCTCCTTGTCTCCTCACCTCGCTCCATCAACAGGTCCATCTGGCCCTTCTCCAGGCTAAGCGCCGTGGTAAAATCCTCGATGGCCTGGTGGCGTGAAGGGTGGGAGGGAGAGAGAGGCATGAAGGTTAATAAGCAAGTAATGGTGTTTTTGTGATTCCACACACACACCCAGCAGGTCCATCAGCCCCTATTTCCAGGCTGGGCGTCGTGGTGCAGTCCTCGATTGCCTGAGAGGAGTGCAGCACAGGGCGGTGTGAAGGGTGGGGAAAGAGGGATGAAGGGTGGCGGTAAGGGAGGGATGGCGGGTCGGGGTTGAGGTGTGAAGGGTGGGAAACAAGGCATGAAAAGAGATGCAATGATGGGTTGAAGAAGGGGGCAGGTATGAGGGACACAGCCACCCCACAGGGGCAGGAGGCACAGATTTGTTGACCTGAGATTGATAATCTTCCAAACTTCTGTGTATGTCCACACATACCCACCACAACGCACTGACCCGAAATCCCAAAGTTGACGCCCACATGGCGCCATGCATCATACCTTAAACCCGAACCTGATGTGCCGGAAACTCCAATTCTCAACTCACCCCAAGTCCCAACAAACAGACATCACAAATAACCCTAGCCCCAGAATCCCGACCAGCATCAACTCACCCCGTCCACCTCCCCTATGGCTGCTCGGGCCTGGGCCCTCCTGCGCCAGGCGTCCACCATCTTGGGGTCAAGCTCGCACGCCTGGCGTGGGAGAGGAGGAAGGGTGGAGACAGGAGAGAGATGGTGATGGCAGTGAGATACCATTTAAACGTTGAGGAGCCACATAAGGGGCCCGGGCCGGCCTGTGCCCTCCTGCGCCAGGCGTCCACCATCTTGGGGTCCAGCTCACATGCCTGGCATGGGAGAGCAAGTGAGGGTGCAGAAAGGAGAGCGATAATGATGGCAATGGATGCCCTGAAGTGCTGGCACGGTTTAGAATGAGGTAGGTTTGCGGGAGATGAAGTTTGATTCGAGTCTTGGAATGAGTTGGCACGAGCAGAAAGGGGATAGGAATGGTATAGAGGGTTTAGGGAGATCAAGAAAGAAAGAAAGCGAGTGCGGATATAGCACATCTCTGTGGGAAGGACACCCACCAAGTAACCTTTCGTGACATCTTTAATCCTTTTTCAGAGCGATTCTTCAACGCTCTATTTAACCACCACCAGCAAGCAATTTCCATGCCGTCGGTTATCTTACCTAAGAGAACATAGACGGTTCCTCAACTACTAGCCACAATACGTCATTTGAACCACCATAACAAAACAACCCACCAGAGTAATCCTGAGTAACCTCTTTGATCTTACCCAAGAGCGCAGACGTAGCGCCTAAATCGACAGGCACTATCTGAAACACATCAAGCACCCACCAGAGAGTAATCCTCAATGGCTTCTTTGATCTTGCCCGAGAGCGCGTAGGCGGTGCCTCGACCAATGAGAGCTGGCGCACTGTTGCCCAGCTCGTCTAGAAGCTGCAGAGCGAAGGGAAGGGGGAGGCACGGGGGAAGGGGTAGGGTGGGTGGGGAGAAGCAAAGGGGAGCGGGTGGGAGAGTCCAGTGTTGACGGAGAGGGGAACGGGGAAATGAGTGAAGGTGTTGATTGCCTCATCGAACTTCTACAGGTTGACGCCCAGATTAATCATCACTTCGTTGAACTGCCTCTCACATACAAAGTGCAAGTGATTCTCACAAACCCAAGTGAAAAACCGTGGTCTCCTTATCTCATCGTACCAGAGTGAAGGTGTTTGATGGGCCTCGTCGAACTTCTACTGGTTGACCTGCTGCACGCCCCTAGATTAATCTGGGCGTGCAGCAAGTGCGTCTCGCAAAGCCAAGTGAAACCGTCTCTCTTTCTCATCATCGTAACAGAGTGAAGGTGTTGATGGCCTCGTCGAATTTCTGCTGGTTGACCTGCTGCACGCCCAGATTAATCATCACTTCGTTGAACTGCCGCGTCATCACGTTCCCGCCCCCTCCAGGGGGCATCATAGTCCCCCTATTGCCCTTCTTCTAGGCTGCTGGTCCAGAGCCGTTGGGCGGAGCCACGAGGGGACGAAGAAGGGGAGCGGGGGGAGCAGCGCGCGGCGCAGGCAGAGGGAGAGGCGGGACTCGTCCGCCAGGGGGAGCGGGGGAACTGGGTCCGCGCAGCATTACGGACACGGGCTGGGACATAGGCGCGCCCATGGGGAACAGGCGCGCGCCTGAGCGGAAAGGGAGAGCGGAAGGGAGTTTCGGTAGATAATTTTGGAAAGGCGCGTGGATATTCCAACTAGACGCTGCGACTAAAACATGTCTTAGGAGGATTTGACCAACTTATGCGTGAAAATGCAATGAAGAAAATAGATGAGACAAGTTCATATGGGGATCAGTGCAGCGGGAAGCGTACCGCGCTTCAGGAGCACCTCCCCGCACAGCGCGTCACGGAGAAAACGCCTGACCGGCAGGATTGCCGTCAGGGTCGCTCGCGAACGAGCGGCGAAAATCTGTTCTTGATTCGCGGGAAGTTGTAACAGAAGTCGTCGTTACTCGCGAGCAACCAACGATGAACATTCGCCAACATTGGCGTCAACCAAGACGATCAGCTGATCATATTTAAGCGAAGCAATACACGGTATGAAGCTGGATAACACGGAGATAGGAATGTCGGAGCGCGGTGCTCCGAAGACTGCAATGCAGGCATAAAAATGCTGAAAAGAATCAAAGAACAGACGACTGACCACGGCCAGGGGAATGCGACGGCGAGAAAGGAGGCAGACATAGCTGAAGCAATGCGAGGGAGCCGTCACGAATAAAATAATCACGACGGATGCGACAGCTAGAAAGGGGGGAAATTGATGGACAATGCGCGACAAAGTATCAGGTGGACGCGGGCCAGTCGGGCACACACCAGAAAATGCGGTGACGCTGTAATGCTCCTGCACGGCGCTTGCGACCACGGCGACGGTGCGCGACAACTCCGAGGAGTCGCATCCCCTCCGGGTCGGCGTGACTCCAGCGCGTGTGCTTATTGCGGGCATGAGGAGCGTGGTGGGGGAAAACGGCAGCACGGAGCAGAGGGTGAAGTTGAAAGCGAGGCATACGAAGGCCTCGGTTACCCCCATTTTGACGAAAAGCCGAGATCCTTCACAGAGATTATTATGAATGTCTGTAAAAGCAGTCAGTCTGACATTGCTACTACAGCCCCCCAAAGAAGGTGCAGGCTACTATTTAGGTCCTGGAGATGGGTGCAATCGTGAGAGCTGCCTGTGAAGGCTTGCTCCCCTGGATTTGCTGATCGGTTTGGAAGAAATGAGATGAGATGAGTCGCACCCATCCTCCTCTCCTCCACTCGCTTGACTTGGCTTGAGTGACGAGACGAGAGGGGAGGATGGTCCAGTTCGTGGGGCTTGATATGCTTTCGTGTTGCGCGGGTAATGACCCCGTTGAGTGTAGACCAGACATATATTGCATAAAACATTACAGCTCACACCTCTCCCATTTGAGTGTTTTTTATCTGCTGAGCTGGAGATTTTTATGGAAGAGGCTGCCTGGTAGCCATTAGGGCATGAAATTAAATCTCGAAAATTATTGATTTATAGCTTTCTGGACACTTAACCCTCTGAATTACGCCATTATGTGATGATTTTTTAGGAAAACGAGACGTGGATGTGATGTATCATGTGATAAAATATATCAAACAAAAAAAGATCACATGTTTGCTTCCTTGTTTTGGACTGACATTTGAAAATACCTTATCTACAATGTGTGCTTGATTTTTTCTACCTTTTCTTACCATAGTTGAGCTGTATAGAGTGATTGATGAAGAACAGTTGCTGACTAAGGATGTAAACTGTTGCTCGCTGATCGTGGCTGCCACGATCACTATTCGGCCCCAGAATCTGGGCGCGCCAAGGTGCGCTGGATCTGCCGCATAGTGGCCAGGTCACATTAACCTTGTCAAAGAGCCACGGTGGCAAGAGCGGGGAAAAAGGAGTTACCAAAAGGTGTGCAGCATATTCGCATTCAATACGTCACGGTTCTGTTCGGTTTGCTGCACTATACGCAAAATGTCATGTAGAACCGTGTGAAATCGTACGAAAACGTACTGAACCATAATGTGATGAGCACAAATCTATTGCGGTTGACAAACACTCCCCTCGTCGTCGGTAGGGATCAGGCGCGGAGGAATGTGTCTGGAAGATAAAACAGATTCTCCATCCCATTTTGAAACTATTCTAGCTTCTGAATCTTTGCACGTCTCTTCTCAGTTTTTGTCAGCTGACTTTACGCCAGTCGAGCCTCTGACGACTCTACCTTCCCAGCCTCCCAGTCTTTTTCATTTCTAATCATAACTATGGGTCGTAAGTTCATCGTCGGAGGCAACTGGAAGTGCGTGAGTATCCGTTCATTGTTACTGCTGAGATGTAGACTCGTCAGATCCGGATTCTAAGCTTACCGTGTTCCTCGTTACGTTTCACAGAACGGCACCCCAGGAGTCTATCAAGACGCTTGTTGGTGTGCTCAACGGCGCTACTGTTCCCAGCGGCGATGTCGTCGGTATGTGCTGTCGTGCTTGAAGAAGAGTGAATGGAATGATTGCCCTTTATGCATGTTCCTTGAAACTGCATGCGAATCAATCATTTCGTAAGCCCTTTCACCGGCATATAGTCTCACCCATCATTCCTGGCATGCTCTCCTTGACTGCTAACGTTGCTCCTTCTATTCCAGAGGTCGTCATCGCTCCTCCCGCCGTCTACATTCCTCTCGTGAAGGCCGAGCTCCGCAAGGATTTCGCCGTCGCTGCTCAGAACGCCTGGGTCAGCAAGGGCGGTGCTTTCACCGGTGAAGTGAGGTATGTCACCTCCCTGTTCCCACCCTGCTTTGGTTGCAAGCGATTTCCGTGTTCTGCGTCTGAGAATTTCAGGGGCTGATCTGGAATGTGGACCTCCTGACATTTCGTCCTTTATTTCTTTCAGTGCTGACATGCTTGTGGATCTCGACATTCCCTGGGTCATCCTTGGCCACTCCGAGCGGAGAACCATCATCAAGGAATCCAACGAGGTCAGCCTCCCTGCCTCTCCACACATTTCTTCCCTCCCTGTAACCTGCTTATTGGGGATGCCGTTCTTGGTGCTTGTAGAGGATGCTTATCTCACGATCTTCTTAATTTCTTGCTTGATCACGTGCAGTTCGTCGCGGACAAGGTCGCGTACGCTCTGAGCAAGGGTCTGAAGGTCATTGCATGCATCGGCGAGTCCTTGGAGCAGAGGGAGAGCGGCGAGACTGTCGCCGTCGTCTCTGCTCAAGTAAAGGCCATTGCAGGTCCGTGTGCTGCGTGCTCTCTTCGTGTGCAGTCTCGCTTCCGTTGTTATTCTTCCACTTCGTGTCCCATGTACGATTGTAGTTTCCGCTGAGTTAGGGGCTGGCTTCGGTCGCTGTTTTTATATTGTTTTCTTCTCGTATGCAGACAAGATCACCAAGTGGGACGATGTTGTTCTCGCGTATGAGCCCATCTGGGCCATTGGTACTGGCAAGGTCGCCACGCCTGCTCAAGCCCAGGAGGTGAGCGGTGCTTTCTCTTCTAGGTTAGCGTCTAGTTAGGTTGATAGTGGCACATCTATTCTGGATTGTGAATCGTTGTGAGAAACGAAAGAACAAAACTGTATGGTGCTTATGCCATGCGTGGCACTGTGATGGCAGACGCATGCTGACATCCGCAAGTACATTGCTGAGAACGTCAGCCCTGATGTGGCAGCTGCTATCCGGATTCAATATGGAGGTGAGGGGTGAAATTGGAGCACGCATGGGGGAATGGCTGGTATAAGGGATCCGTGTGGAATACTTGTATGGTTAGCACTTTATTTTCTGCGTTTTTTTTTTGTCCCTTTGCGTGTGGTACACTTGGTACGACCTTTGCATTGGCTAACAGATAAGGTCATTGTAATCTTTAACGCTTCCATTTCTCCTATCGTGCGCCTAACCACCAGGCTCTGTGAACGCTGCTAACTGCAAAGAGCTCGCCGCTCTTCCTGATGTCGATGGCTTCCTTGTTGGTGGAGCTGCTCTCAAGGTATGTATCTTGGGTTCTTTTCTCTGTGGTTTTGCCCAGCTTTATCCACTGCAGCTGATCTCATGTTTTAAGAAAAAGCATAGCTAACTCTGCCGTTTTTGTTTCCTTTTGCAGCCTGAGTTTGTTGACATTATCAACTCTGCCACCTCTTCTTCATAGAGGCGTGTATGTATGTATGTGAATCAGCAATATAGAAATGTCACAATGTATGGTATCCCACCAGCTGATGGAGTTTCACGCCTTGCAATGGAACATGGTCTTAAACCACTTCTTACACAAGAACCTATGCAATGCAGTGCAAATATCCATTTGCTAGTTGCAACACAGTCAGTGCCCAATGTGAATCAGTGACTTCTGCCTGGTCCGCAGAATAACTTCTATCTCAGTGAAAATACCACACTGGGATAGCAATTTTGTGAAACATGTGATCTATCTTCTCCACCCAACCACACCTTAGTTACGGTACTTGTTGCAGGACAGTATGGACAGTTTTTAGCATACATTGCACTGATGCAACAGACTGGACTTGAAACAACTGCCACAACGGAGGAATACCGTAGCAGTTCGCATATCAGACGCCACAGTGCACGTAGGTATGAGTATGCTTGCTTGCTCACAAGCAAACCACAAAACGAGTTACACACCACTGCCCCCACACCAGATACATTGGAAACAACCAACCCTGTAGGTCCAAATTGCATCTCCCACCAAGTAAGTCCACAATTTTCCATTCGACCATTACCGTACAACCTCCTACCAGCCCACGATTCCGCTTCCTCCCTCACCACCATTTTACTCCCCCTCTTAATCTCCACCCGCAATCCAGAAGACTGGGAAGTCGTCCCTGTCATCTTCGCTGTCCAAGCCATACTCATGGTTAATCTCTGAATCCTCTCCACCACTCCCAAAATCCTCCTCCTCTGTGTCCACCTCTTCCCCTTCCGCCGCTGCATCTCCTCCCTCCTCCCCGTCTAAATCCTCCCCTCCTTCCTCCTCTCCCTCATCAACCGCCACTCCCCCTCCCTCCCCCCCATCCTCCTCGCCTACCCTTGCAGGGACCCTCCTGTCTCGCCGGGAGAGCAAAGGGCACTCACTGACAAAGTATTCACGCAGCGTCGGGATTCTCCGGATAGAAGGCGGCAGCCGAACCAGCTTGTTGCACGCAATCACCCGCAGCACCACTAGTTGAGGCAGCATAGAGAACGACTCTGGCAAGCTGCGGACGTGCTTCAGCCCCAGGAGCACCAACTCCTGGAGGGAAGACAGCTTCCAGAAATCTTCTGGAAATCCTGATATCCCAAGCTTGGTGAGAGTACAGGATTGTAACTTGGCCAGATTCGCAAAGGAACCTGGAAGTTGCATCAGCTTGTAGCAGTCAATAATCTCAAGCCTCTCAAGCATCTTCAGCTGCCCAATAGACTCCGGCAGCTGCCGTACTGTACATAGACGAACCAGCAGTAACACCCGCAGCCTTGAAAGTCCCCAAAAAGCTTCCGGCAGAGCCTCCATCCTCAAGGCAGAATCGATCCGGAGCCTTTTCAGGCGCGAGAGTTGAGAGATGGAGTCAGGGAGTGACATAAGGCTGTGCATCTCTAGGAGCTTCAGCTGCGTTAGGGAGGAGAGCTGGCCAAGGGATGGACCAATGGAATGGAAAGAAAGAGCTTTTATCCTGAGATTCTGGAGGGATGGAAGCAGTGATTCGCTGGTGCTGCTGCTGGCAGTTCTGTTGGAGAGCATTGAAGAACCCCTGGCAGTGCGTCTGAGCACTATCTCATCCCCTAGAAGCGCACCAACTTCACTGCATCCCCGCACTTCGAGCACCCGCAGCCGTGGCAGCCTAACAAGCTCAGCAGGGAGTTCTTTCAAGCCGTCCATCAGTGAGATCCTGACCACCTCGAGCGACTCCAGCCGTCCGATCCCCTCAGGCAGGACCGTTACTTTAGGGCAACGTATCACTTCAAGGCTGGCGAGTGAAAAGACGCCTGAGAAGGAGGCAGGAAGCGCAGATAAGCGAGGCATCCCTCGAAGCACCAGCTCCTTGAGGCTTTTCAAGCAGCAGAAGCCGTCTAGTAGGTTGCCTCTGAAGCAATTAGCTTCCATAATCTTAAGGGTTTCGAGAGATGTCAGGGCGGAGAAGGATGGAGGGAGGTGGGTGAAGGATGAGCAGTGTTCCAGATGCAGATAGCGCAAACGCTGCATACCGTTCCCCATTTCATCTGGCAGCACCGTGAGGTCCCAACAAGCGGTAATCTCCAGGTGCTCGAGAGAAGAGAGCTGGGAAAGGGAGCCCGGGAGCTGCTGCAGCTTCTCACACTCCACTATTTTCAGCTCCCGGAGAGCTTTCAGCTGCCCGAGGGATTCAGGCAGGCGTGTGAGCTGGCGAAGGCTGTTAAGGCGCAGCTTTTTAAGAACAATCAGCTGCCCGAAATCCTCGGGCAAAGACGGAACCTTCCAAAGATTGTCGAAGGAAAGCTCTTGGAGCGTAGTAATCTGAGCGACGGGGTCAGGAAGGCTTGTGAGCTTCCTCAGATCCAGCAAAAGTGTGTGTAGCTTTGATAACTGCCCAATATCGTCAGGTAGTAGTGAAAGTTGTGGCATTTCAAGAGCGAGGCTGGTGAGTGACGGCAGGTGGAAAAGAGACTCGGGCAGAGACGTGATATCGCTGCAGCGCTTGATAGCTAGAGTCTTGAGTCGCCACATATGCTCAAGAGCCTCGATTAGCTCGTGCAATCCCGTCGCATCTTCCAGTATGAGGGTTTCGAGCGCACGCCAGTCGAGAAAAGATAACGGGTGACGGGTGAACAATGTTGCACTGCTCAAATTTCAGGACGGTGAGGGAAGAAAGCTTGGTGAGAGAGGCCGGCAGCTGCAATCTCGAGCAGTGGCGCAAGGATAGCAGGTTCAGGCTGGCAAGTTGACCGATAGATTCTGGAAGCGACGCCAGGCAGCAGCAACTGTGTAACGAGAGCGACGTTAAGGAAACCAGATTGCCGAATTCTGCGGGCAAAGCTTCGAGCTTATTAGTGTTCACCATAAGGCTCCTGAGAGACTGTAGCGAGGTCAGTGTGTCGGGAAACCGCGTGACGGTTGCTATAAGGTCCAGGTTCTTGAGAAACGTGAGTCGGTCGATCGATGGAGGAATGGCAGCATGCTCCTCACACTCCACATAGAGATCTTCCAGCCGCGTACACCCCTCAAACAGAAACTTCAAGCCTTTCTCACTTATAGCTGTGCGACTGTACTCACTTCCCATCGTTCCAACACCAAGCTCGACCAGATGAGGACACACGTCAGCGAGGTGAGAGACAAAAAAGTCCGAGGCTGAGGTGAGGCTGCCGTGAGAAAGAAAGAGTTTTTTTAGGTTAGGGAACGACGACAGGAGTTGAAGGAGGAGACGCGGTTCCATATGGAGGTGGTAAGGCAATTTGAGCTCATGTTGCACGCGGTACGCAATGCGATGCCATCGCTTGCTAACACGTGCGTGCTCCAGCTGGCTATCAGGTCTAACAAGAAAACTCAATATCTGAGAAAGCACCTCCTCAGGTAGCTGTTGGATAGCCGACCCGACTGGCATCTTGAAACGAGGGAATAACAGGAAATGAATGGCTTTCCGTCGATTTAAGTTTGTCTTCCCGTAAGCTAACACGGCTAACAAGCTAGACTAGTCAAACGTCAAGAAGCTAGAGCAGACAGATCACAAGTATCATTGTTATGAAGAGGATATTCCCGAGAGGTACTGATTTCCGATTTCACCACAGCAGAAACGTTGAGTTTGTCATTAACACCGCATTGCAACGCAAAACATTCCCTACAATTTATCCAACGCAAGGAAGATATGCGAAATACGAACGGCGACACACGGCACCGTTTGGTGAACTCCCTTCCCCGCTCTGCGATATCTGTGAACCATCTTGTTGCGTGGATGTGTGCACATGGAGGGCACATCCGAGACCAGACCATACCCGTTTGTGGGTGCGAACATACTGCCAGTTCACTTTGGTTTTGTAGAACGCAAAATTATTCATTTTTGCGACCAATATCAACACATCACATCTTTGCCAGCAGTCGAGCAGTACTGGATAGCACCAGAGTTCTACTCTGGACTGGGCATTTCAAGGAGATGTGGTGGTCGTGCACCGATGCTCTTCCGAACCAGTTGCACCGCAAGGCATCTGTGTTGGTTGATCAGCAGCAGCGTTGCTGCATCTTATCCTTGTTGCTCTTTTGGTAGTCTCATCATTAGCATGTCATTAGATGCGGACTCACAAAATTTTCACCTTCTGTGGATGTAATTGACATTGGAGACTGTATTAGGGCTGGTGTAGCTAGCTGCCTGCTGACGTGCGTAGCGGAAGTATTATGTTATCATATTCCAGCAGCTGCTCCAGATGAATCCACACAACTTACGTTCAGGTGGAGGCACTGAGGGGGAATGGCTTTGGGCTAGGCGTGCGCGAAAAATACGCTGGAAGGTTATTTCATGATTGAAAATATAAATGGGAGTAACATTTACAAGTCCACCAATAGGTGGGGGCCTAAAAGCTACGTTATAAGATCTCCGCGAAAATCATGTCCTTCAACAAATCGCGGAAGATAAGTGTGCTAGCGGCTACTTTTGGCGATTTAATTAGGCAAGGAAACCTAGCTTCTCGCCGTTCTTCTTTGCCAGCCTGATCAAACCCTGACGCTGTTGAGCAGGGGCTCCAACGGACTTGCAGAACTCCGTGATCACCTGAAAAGAGAAGACGAAGGGGCTCGTTAGAATACAATTTGATACCGGGTTGGCACCATGGGCGTACTAGGCGGCAATACTCACTTGTGAGTGGAGAGCGATGCCTTTCCCTCGGAGCTGGTTGAACTGCTTTTGGCCAATGACATTCTTCGCGACGACCACAATAGGGGCGAACACACCCTTCCCCTCATGCGGGTTCTTCATCGTTATCACTCCTCTTGAGGGTGCAGCCAGGGTTACCCTGTTAACCGTGCTAAGGAGCTCACTCTTTCCATGACCTGCTAGTTCCTGGCTGGGCGCGGGACGGCCTTAATGGTTGGCAGGGAGACGGTTACGAGGGCCATGATGGATGCTGTCGGAGAGTCTAGCAGGCTGAAGTAGATGATCAGAAAATCACTATGAACGATGCGGATCAAATAGACCTTGC